TAGCTTAACCGTTAGTTAGCGTAAGTGTTAGTTATCGTAACTGTTAGTTAGCCTAACTGTCGGTTAGATTAACTGTCAGTTAACTTAACCGTCAGTTAGTTAAACTGTTAGTTACCTTAACTGTCGGTTAGCTTAACTATCCGTTGCTTAACTGTCAGTTAGCGTAACTGTCAGTTACATAAACTGTCGGTTAGCGTAACTGTCAGTTAGCTTAACTGTTAGTTAGCGTAACTGTTAGTTATCTTAACTGTTAGTTAGCTTAACTGTCGGTTAGATAAACTGTCAGTTAGCTTAACTGCTAGTCATCTTAACTGTCGGTTAACTTCACTATCCGTTGCTTAACTGTCAGTTAGCGTAACTGTCCATTAGATTATCTGTCGGTTAGCTTAACTCTCGGTTAGGTTAACTGTCAGTTAAATAAACTGTCGGTTAGCGTAACTGTCAGTTATCTTAACCGTTAGTTAGCTTAACTTCCAGTTAGATTGTCTATCGGTTAGATTAACTGTCAGTTAAAAAAAACTGATGGTTAGCGTAACTGTCAGTTAGCTTAGTTAGCTTAACTTAACTTTTTTTTTGTTAGTTAGCTTAACTTTCAGTTAGCTTAACTGTCAGTAATTGTCAGCAATCTGTCAGTAATCCGTTAGATCTAATTGAAAGTCTAACTTAAACCCCAACACAATAACCTATTCATGGATACCATTTCAATGAGCATCTGCAATGTAAACGCAAAGAGTCGAGCATCTTACAGATTCCAGGTGACACTGAATAAAAATTTCGAATGAATTTTGATATTGATTGCTATGAATTTTAATCTCACTGAGACTAGACATCTGGGCAGCATCTCAAATATAAAGTCACACGCAAGACCTGCAATTTAGTGGGTTTGTCGTCATCTTCGCAAATCTAGCTTTCGTACTCTAGCCAGTCTCAGCTTCTAAGACTTTTGGTTTCGCTGTAAAACCAAGAAGCAATTTGAGGACAAGTTTGGCTCAGTGTGTAGTGACCCTAGTTGCTGTGCCAGCGGTCGCGGGTTCGAGTCCCGCTGGGGGTATTCATTGTGTGATGAGCACGAATGTTTGTACTCCAGTGATGGGTGTTTATATTTATAATATGTATGTATTTAAAGTTATATATGTGTAGTGTATCAACTATCTGGTATCCATAACACAAGCCTCGTAGCTTACCATGGAACTAGATGGTGCTGTGTATTAATGTCCCAACAAAAAAAAATTGTCCCACCCAAATTTAGAATTTCCAGATCTGCAGCCGAACATGCTAGCCATTAGAAAAACGAAGGCGGACCGACTAAGACCCCAATTAAATAATAAACAAATCTATTTATACATATTAACGCAGTTTTATTTGTATAGTAATCTTAGAAAATATTGCAATACAAATTTTTGGTACTAACATAAGACGGTACTGATTTAATTGTATGTAGAAAATTTGATCAATATTATTGAACATTATTCGGAAACTTACTTTAACAACTGACTTTGACATAATAAAATCTACTAATGTTATAAGCGCGAAAGTTTGTGAGGATGTATGTATGTTTGTTACTCTTTCATGTAAAAACTGCTGAATGAATTTTGATGAAACTTTACAGTGATATATATAGCTTATACATCAGAATAACACATCCATATTAATATTATAAATGCCAAAATAACTCTGTCTGTCTGTTACATTTTCACGCTTAATCTACTGAACTGATTTAGATGAAATTTGGTATGGAAATAGTTTGAGATCCTGGGAAGGGGATAGGATAGTTTTTATCCCGGAAATCATCCCTCATGGGGTTGAAAAGGAGACTGAAAATTTGTATGTGAAATCAATGAATTCTCAAGTATGGGAAATAAAACTCGTAATACCTATCTATATATATATATATATATATATATATATATATATATATATATATATATATATATATATATATATATATATAATATATATATATATATTATAGTTTATGTATTCCATACTAAGCTATTTAATATATAAATATCTCGTGTCGCCGTGTTTGTGGTCGCAAGTCCTCCGAAACGGCTCGACCGATTTTAATGATTTTTTTGTATATTTGGTAGGTATAAGAATAGGTCGTAAAGTATTTTTTACCCTCCTACCACCACCCTCCATTTTTTAATCGCGATTTTAGTATTTTTGTATGGAAAATATCCAAATAATTTAATATTATATAAAACCCGAACGAAAAGAGGATGAGTTGCTATTTAAACATAGAGCAAAAGAGTTTTCTTTTTTTGTAGATTGAACGCGGGCAAAGAAGCGGGTTTTGCTAGTTATAAAAATATAGTTATAAGTTCACTCCATAGGGAGAGCCGCGGGGGAGCACTAGTGCTCTATAAATGTAAGTGAAACCTTGGACTTCCAACCCTTTTATACATTTTTAATATGTCTTTTACAAGCAATGTTCTAATAAAAGTATAAGTGAGGGTTCAATTTTATGGTCACTTGGACTTTTCACAGAATAAATAATATATAGTATAATCTACTATCATTGCCCGCGGCTCCGTCCACGTTCAGATGACCAAAAACCAAATACTTAGGTTTTACATATTAGTATAACTCTTACATTACAGTTTTTGTATTTTTTCTAAGAAGTGAGATATTTTCCCGCGGTAAAAAGTATCCTAAATGTTGAACCGGATAACCAGCTATCGCCATACCAAATTTCATTAAAATCCCTCCAGTGGTTTTTCCGTGATGCGGTAACAGACAGACAGACAAAAATTCTAAAAAAACTATAAATTAGGCCTCTGTATCGATAACAATGACTATTTCGATAAGATTTTCCAAAAAAATATTTAATGTACAGATTCGCCTAAGTTAGAATTTTATAAGGTTTTATAAGGCAACAGTAAAAAAAGCAAACCAAAAAAATTTCATATAACATACGACAAAGCAAAAATATTTCACGCTACAATTTTCAAATAATTTGTTTTAGAAAGCCACACCAATCTATAGCATAAATGTTTAATATAAAAATCTTTATCTATAAATTTCTTTTCAATTTTATTGTTAGTTCAACCTTGTTTTAAAATTTTTATCTTATATTTTGATTTCTGAATCGTAATAGTCACAGCTACGGTACTCTTTGGAATCTAACACATAACACCAAAAAGCAGGTTGCTATATGCGTTATACGTCCCATGGCTGTAGTTGAAAATGGCTGGAATATAGGAGAATGGGTAAATATTTTTTTTTATTTTATTACTAATTATCTTACCAAAAATGTCTATCGATTTTTACGCTTTTATTTTTTTACCATACAAAAATGGTTTATAGCAAACAGGGCTTTCTTGATATCAACGTGTGCTGTAAAGCATTCGAAACGTCAGGTATATATATATATATATATATATATATATATATATATATATATATATTCTATAATAAAAATCTGATTCTACTACATAAATCTGTACATTATTATGGATACAGAGGCCGAATGTATAGTTTTTTGAATTTTCGCCTGTCTGTCAATCTGTCTGTTTATCTGTTTGTGACCGCATCACGAGAAAACCACTGGACAGATTTGGATGAAATTTCGTATGACGAGAAGTGGTTATCCGGGTCAACATATAGGATACTTTTTACTACGAGAAAATATCTTATCTCTGAGGAATCTTTACTAAACATTAAAACGTAAGTAGGGACGAACCTGAGCGAAGCGAGGGTGAGTCGCTAGTCCATATATATATATATATATATATATATATATATATATATATATATATATATATATATATATATATATATGGACATTAATTAACACACAGCGCCATCTAGTTCCATGATAAGCTACGAGGCTTGTGTTACCAGATAGTTGATACACTACACATAAATAACTTTAAATACATACATATTATAAATATAAATAACCATGACTGGAGTACAAACATTCGTCATGAAATACTCAAAGACAAAACTGTTCAGTACCTTTTTCTCCTTTGTTTGTCAAACGATATTTTTTGTTTAGTAGCTATTGACAAGCTATAGTGTTATCGATAAAGAAATTATTATATGTATATAGAAAAATTTCGGCCACTTTCGATTTTTTATTTTTTCCAAATCATTATATAATAACTCTCTGTTACTAATAACTTTGATTTTATGAAAATAAATCCGCGAAATAATCCGAAAAGATAGTTTTATTTAAAATGGCAAATATTCGCGTAAATCTAAGAAAGTATTACATATTTATTTAATTGTATTGAAAATCATCAATACCAAGTATCAATAACTCTGATCAGAAATATTTTTTGCGTTGTATTATAACGGTTTTCCCGCGGGAATGAGATAATCTCCCGCGTTAAAAAGTAGCCTATGTCACTCTTTAGCCTTCCAAGTTTCTCCACACAAAAAATTACGCCAATCCGTCACTCTGTTTTGACGCGAAAGAAGGACAAACAAACACACTTTCACATTTATAATATTAGTATGGATTATATTCTATAAATGTATGATTGTACTGTTTCTTATTTAATTATTGGTTTGTTTTAATTTTATTGCGTGCGATATTTGCCAAAGAAGTTTTACTTCAATCGCGCGTAAAGGTTACGCACACACATTTTTTTGTATATCAAAACTAGCGGACCCGACAGACGTTGTCCTGTCTACAATGATAACAAAACTTTTTTTTAATTTGATCGCAGCGCTAACTGTCGGGACAGACTAAAATTAAAATTCGAATATTATTTAAAATTTGACACTGCGATGGTAGCGCCGTCTGTCGGATCCAATGTAAAACATTCCAAAATCAACAACTACTAATAAATTAAAAATTAATTAAAAAAACATTGTCCAGCGGACAAAATTGTGAATCTAAACCATTCCCAGATCCCCTTGAACACACACAAAAAATTTCATCAAAATCGGTCCAGTCGTTTGAGAGAAGTTCAGTGACATACACACTCACAGAAGAATTATATATATAAAGATTTGTAAAAGATTTTTTGTTTCAGAAATTCATCTAAATGTTCGACAACGCAACATCGAAACGATATGATAAGAACACGAGGCCCAATACAATGGAATCTTCGATGTAAGTTACGAGTTTTATTTTTATCTAATTACGCAGTTTTGCTAGTTATAGCTCAGTGGTAGCGCACTCGCTTGGAAAACCAAGTGAAGCGGATTCAAATCCGGGTCTCGCACTTCTGATATTCTCATGTGCGAATCATTTCCAACATGATCACCACTTGTCTTACGGTGAAGGAACACATCGTGAGGAAACCTGCATGTATGCTAGCAAGTTGCAGAAAAACAGCTCGGTCAAGTCAGTCAAGCTTGGTCTGATCCCCCTCGTATTCAAGGGAGACCTTCCACCCCCAGCAGTAGGACATTAAAAAGGGCTGATTAAATACGTACAACGAATGTGTTAGTAATCTCCTCTTTAAAAATGAAAAATAAAATATGCACTCGAATCTAGTATCTTTTTATGAAATCGATCTAAAATAACCATGCTGTTGTTTTCAATTAATAAAAAGAAATACTTTCTTAGATTTACGCAAATATTTGAGATTTTAAATAAAACTAACAACTAACGTAGTAACTATCTTTTTGGATTTTTTCGCGGATTCATTTAGATTTTTTGGTTCCCGACGTTTCGAATGCTTTGCAGCTATCATGGTCACGGGAGAGACTAAGGTTTAAGTTCTCTTAAAAGCGGTATATACTTGTTACAGACAGTGCCTACTCACACTTTTACAAAATGAATTCAAAAATTCAAAAATGGCACCAATGTAGGTACTTTACAATATTTGTTGATTTTAATTCTAAACATTTAAAATTTTTAGTAAATATTATAATTAAATATGGCAATATTATTAAAAATTAAAAAAAATAATTATTTATTTAAGCAATATTATTGTTCTATATGTGATTTAAAAAAAGTTACAATATTAATTAAGATTGTTATTATTTAAAGTTAAAATATTAAGCAACACTATTGCTATCTTTACAGATAAAAAATATATATTAATTTGAATTCATGTTATTGCGATCCACACAGTATGAACTAACTACATCTAATGATTTTTAATGTTTATTTTTGTTGTTAACAACAAAAATAGTTTGTTCCGGCTAATCTCCGATACGTCTGGACCGATTTTGATGTGACTTTCACTAGCAGATAGCTGATGTGATAAGGAGTAACCTAGGCTATTTTTAATTGAGAAAAAGAATTAGAATTCCGCTTAAAAAAATTAAAACGTACCTAGGGAAGCACACGAGCGAAGCGTTAGTACAGTTTAAAATGAAATTATAAATTCATAAAGGCTTCTCTAAAATTTAATTCTCTTAAAAATAATTGTCGATGCACATACTGTTCCAGACTAAAATCTATCTCTGTGCCATTCATCCAGATCCGTTCAGCCGTTCTGGCGTGATTGTGTAACAAACAAACATCTAAAACTTTGTCATTTATAATATTAGTAAGAATTACATACACATACATCCTATATATACATAATTTATACCATACTAGAAGAAGCAAGCAATAATAAGCAAGAGTCACAACAGAATGAGTGAATATTTAAACAAGTTGAAGTAGGTAATAGCAGGCATTTTGCAGCTCGCGCCAGTTGATATTCGACGAGTGGACGAACGTTTAGATCTTAAATAGCAGAACCCGCGGCTTCCCCTGTGTTAAGACTACAAAAAAAGTCGTTGGTTTTATGCTATTAGTAATAATGTATAAAAGTCTGCCCGATTTGTTGATATTTATGATTACTGCTCCGCTTCCTTGGGTAGTAGCATGATGATATATAGCCTTCCTCAGTAAACGGGTTATTTAATGCAAAAATAATTTTTCAAATCGGATTAGTAGTTCCTGAGTTTAGCGCGTTCAAATAAACAAACAAACAAACAAACAAACAAACAAACACACTTTCACATTTCTAATATTATTATGGATATCTCAAATATTTTATTAAATGTCAAAGATAAAAAAAAGTATAAGTAAATTTGGAATTAATTAAAAAGTATTTATGTAATAAATACAAACTAAAAAAAGCACTTGCCTGTGAAGTGGTTTTCTTTACATATACATATGTATACATTGTATAGTGTGTGTGTGTGTACTGTGTATACGTGTGTATGGATATACGTACCTCAAGAGTACGCGTCTCAAAAATTCCTACTACAAATTTAGTCCTACAGCGGTAATTAAATAAGTAAAAATATTAGTGGACCAACCTCACTACATATCACGTTAAAGTGAACGTAACGCTTGCGCGATGCAGCACTACTACCGCCATCTAGTGAACAAGCATCGAACTTATATTCTTGCAAAATTTTTCTCATTTATTCAAAACGAAGATTATCAGTTCGATACGTATGTATGTAATATTATTGGAACTGCAGAATATTCATATATGATTATCTATTAGGGCTTTCAAACAAATATACAAAACTAGCAGAACCCGCGGCTTCGCTCGCGCTAAAACTACAAAAAAAAAATCTCTAAAAAAGGTAGGTTTCATACAAACTTTCATACCCCATTTTACCCCCTTATAGGATGAATTTTGAAAAATGCTAAAACACGTATTTATTTATTTGTATTGAAGAGCATTAATACCAAGTTTCAAGTAATTCTGATCAGAAATATCGATCGGAAGTTATGCGCGTACATATATATACATATTTCGATGATTCATTTTTATTTATTTAGACTACCGATTTACTCTCACTTCGCTCAGGTTCGTCCCTAGGTACGTTTCGACGCTTAGTATGGAATAGATTATTGTTTTTAATTTTGTTCGTGAATTTTTCCGATGATTTAATTATTCTGCTATTCGGGGTGAAGACAAATCCAACAAAATAATGATCATAAAAATCGGTCCAGCAGTTCTCGAGTTATAAGTGTTGTAACAAACCCGACTTTGTTTTATATATACATATATAGACTTGCGAGTTACCCTCTCTTCGCTCGGGTCCCTGGGTACGTTTTAAATAGATAAATTTATTTATTTATTAAAGGACAACCAACAAAAGATACAATTAAAAACAGTAAGATATTCATGTGCTAACAATTTCATAAATGTTCTTTTATTTATAAGTTATCACAACATGCTTTTTTTTAAATAACGTAAATAACATTTAATTAGAAGATGCAAGTTTAATTTAAAAAAAATAATAATAAATTAATAAATAAAGCTGAAATTAAATTATAAAATTAATAAATATGACAATTGAAATATAAAAAACTAGCGGCTCACCCTCGCTTCGCTCGGGTTCGTCGCTAGGTACGTTTTAAATAGATATAAAAAGAAAAAATCTTTCTTTCTCACATTTTAATTATATGTTTTAATACTTACCTATTCCGGACTAAGAGAAATCCAAAAATTAAAATATCATAAAAATTGGAACGCGGTCGAACGGGATAAAAGTATCCTATGTCCTTCTCCTGGCTCTAAACTACCTCCCTGCCAATTTTCAGCTAAATCGGTTCAGCCGTTCTTGAGTTATAAGCGAAGTAACTAACACGACTTTCTTTTATATATATAGATACATAATCAGACATAAGTAAAATTAGATAATAATATATAAATAGTCAATCGAATAAAACAAATAATACAATAAAAATAAAAATAATAATTGCGAGTATATTATCTTAGGAAGTAGACATATACTATTGCAGACTATTTCTGTAGGCCTTCTGAGATCTACAATTTTCTAGCACATTGTTTGTGTTTAAAGACATGTATAGTCCGCCAATCCGCACTTGGTCTTTATATATATATAAAGATATAAAAGTAATATATATATATATATATATATATATATATATATATATATATATATATATATATAATAGTAATTACATTTTATTGAAAGCGGTTAATTTCGCTAGGTTTCAATCAGTAAGTAAATAATTTGTTTTGTTTAATTAACATTTTTCCCATTTTTCGCATAACGTGTAGCATTTTTTAGCTTGCTTTGTTAGATGTAAAGAATGTAATACTTGGCCTTAATTAGGCAGAAGAATGCGCGAAGTGCGTTTAGAAAGCGACGTTTGTATAATCATTTGGTAAATAAACGTTTGTTTCTTTAGAGTATGAGTAAGGAGTAACAAAGCGATTGAAGTCTAAGATGGTATTGTAATTGGCTGTTTTATAATACCAGTACCTGGGCCACCGAGCTTCGCTCGGAGTTTCTGGTCGAAAGTACAATGTTCTTTTAAAAAAAAAACTAAAAACTTAAATAAATACAAAAAAAAACAAAAATAAATTATACCTTTGTATCCGACCGCGATTCGAACCCGGACACCTATGATTGTCAATCTTGCCTTGGCGGCTTAACCATGATGCTTTGACATGAGTTTGCGCAATTGTCGACCATATTTTGCGCGGAATAATGCGAAAGAAAATCGCATGAAAATTCGAAAACACACGTTTCAAGATATAAGATTTCTGTGGTTGCGGCCGCAGTATATATACATGTACATATATGTATTTATTTATTTAAAACGTACCGGTTTTGTTGCAACACTTATAACTCGAGAACTGCTAGACCGATTTTTATGATCTTTGTTTTGTTGGATTTGTCTTCACCCCGAATAGCAGAATAACTAAATCATCGGAAAAATTCAAGAAAAAAAATTAAAAACAAAAATCTATTCCATACTAAGCGTCGAAACGTACCTGGGGACGAACCTGAGCAAGCGAGATTAAATCTACCGATTACTGATGATTAGACTACCGTCTAAATAAATAAAAATGAATCATCGAAATATATGTACGCGCATAACTTCCGATCGATATTTCTGATCAGAATTACTTGAAACTTGATATTAATGCTCTTCAATACAAATAAATAAGTACGTGTTTTAGCATTTTTCAAAATTCATCCTATAAGGGGGTAAAATGAGGGATGAAAGTTCTGCTAGTTTTGCTTTTAAGCCCTAATAGATAATCATATATGAATATTCTGCAGTTCCAATAATATTACATACATACGTATCGAACTGATAATCTTCGTTTTGAATAAATGAGAAAAATATTGCAAGAATATAAGTTCGATGCTTGTTCACTAGATGGCGGTAGTAGTGAGCTGCATCGCGCAAGCGTTACGTTCACTTTAACGTGATATGTAGTGAGGTTGGTCCACTAACATTTATAATTATTTTAATTACTGCTCGAAGGACCAAACTTGTAGTAGGAATTTTTGAGATGCGTACTCTTGAGGTACGTATATCTATACACACGTACACACACATACACACTATACATATGTATATGTAAAGAAAACCACTTCACAGGCAAGTGCTTTTTTTTAGTTTATATTTATTACATAAATACTTTTTAATTAATTCCAAATTTGCTTTTACTTTTTTTTATCTTTGAAATTTAATTAAATATTTGAGATATCCATAATAATATTAGAAATGTGAAAGTGTGTTTGTTTGTTTGTTTGTTCTTCTTACACGTCAAAACGGATTTTTCGTGATTTTTTGTGTGGAAATAGTTGAAGGGCTGCAGAGATATATAGGCTACTTCGTGCCGTGGGAGATTATCTCATTCCCACAGAAAAACACGTTATATATATATATACACACGCAAAATAGGCGCATAGTCGTCGAGTTGCGGAAAATAGCCCGAATATACCATACCATATATATATATATATATATATATATATATATATATATATATATATATATATATATCCTACCAATATTATAAATACGAAAGTTTGTGAAGATGTATTGATGTATGGATGTTTGTTACTTTTCCACGCATAAACTACTGAATGAATTATATTTTGTTTTTTCTAGAGGCGAACCCGAGCGAAGCAAGGGCGAGCCGCTAGTATACTAAAATAGTAACTTAGCGCTTTCTGTACATGAAATATTTTTCAAAAACAATGACTGTAACGTATTGTGTACAGAATATAGATCCCAAAACAATATTTATTGACATTTTTATCTGTTTGTCTGTATATCTTTGTGATGAAACCCTGGTGGGTTATTATACTACATTTCGCCTTATATAAAAGTTCCTGGCCCAAAACAAATGCTTCTTTGGACTTTTCTCTTTTACGCGTACTTAAGCCATTCAAGCTCAGTGACGCGAACGAAGCGAGGGTATGTCGTTAGTGTTAAATAAAACTATATTTTAAAATCTAACAGTATTTTAACCCCAACCAAAAGTCACAAATACGAGTATATGAACCTATATTTATAAACCGATTCAAATAAAACAAATACTAAATGTTAAGTGAAGCTTACCACAATACATAAGTGAAAACCGACTCCAAATAGTTAAGCCGTTCCTAAAATTAGCGCGCACAAACGCACAGACAAACAGACAAAAATTCTAAAAACCATCGTTTCGGGTTCTATTGCTTTAAAAAGAACCCCAATAATAGTTTTTCTAAAATATCTTCCATGCACAGACAGCGATCAGTTACACTTTTATTATATGTATAGATGACACATACTCGTATATCTCTGTCAACTATAAAATCGTTGGACCAATTTTAATGTAACTTTTTGTTTCAAAATTTTTATCGGATATACAATTCTTTAATCTGGGTACAATTATTCGCTATATATTTGCTGATACTTTGAACAAAATCGAACCTACATAAGTACAACACCATAATATAGTATATTCCTAATGAACAGCTAATTCACTTACGCCATATTTATTCCAGTATAATGGCATCTGGAGCTGACATTTGGAAAATATGTTGTCTTAAGCGTTTCTTAACTGCTGTAAATTTTACTGAAATTTCTTTCGGAACCTCTCGATTTTTTCTCGATTTAAGTTTTGATGCTTAATGCCCTAAAAATGCTTAAAAAACATATTTCATTTCATTGTCTTTGTGGTCTTCTGGCTAGCATTACTGGTGCAGAGGTCCTGGGTTCAAGTCAAATTAAGTTATTGAGTTTCTAATAGAGATGGGCGAACTATGAGTTTTGCCGACTAGTCGAATAGTCGGTTGGAAAAATGCCGACGAATCGGCTGACTAGTCGACCTAGCCGATCACGAAGTACGAACGGATTTTTTTTATTTGTATTTCGTTATTTGTGTTTTTTTTTAAATTAAAACAGTTTGTATTATAGTAAAAGTAACCACACAATTAAAATTAAGTCATGTCATACTTTCTTAGATTTACGCGAATATTTGACATCTATACAGATAAATAAAATTAAATTGTATGTTTGTAATGTCAAAATAACAGTTCTTTACTGCATATTAAATTTTATAGGGTATTAATATAAATAAAACCATTTTTTAAAATTTTGTCCGTTTGTCTGTATTTTTGTTTGTTTTGACGGGACTTTCATTGACAGATAGATAATGTTATAAGGAGTAACTTAGACTTTTACTTTAGAAAGAGAATCAGGGTTCAAAAAAATTAAAACCCATAAAATTGTGAACCAAATCGTATCTAGGGACGCAACCCAAGCGAAGCGAGAGTATGTGGCTAGTTTTAAATAAAAGTATCTTTTCGGATTTTTTCACGGATTTATTTTAATTTTTGGTTCTGGACATTTCGAATGCTTTACATCAATCATGGTCACGGAACAAACTAAGATTTTAGACGTCTCAAAGGCTTTATATAGTTGTTACAGACAGTGTCTACCCTCAAAATTACAAAATGAAATTTAATGAAAAAAATATTTTTTATTAATAATAACAACCCCTCTTTTTTAAGAATAGTTATATGAATACAGTAATGAGCCGACTAGTCGGCTCCGGTCTATTTGCCACCGTGGCCGAAATCGATCAGACGGACGTCATATTTTCATACAATCTTTAAAACAAGGCAGTAAGTAATATAATTAATTAAAGTGGCTTTTAAGTTAGAAAGTTATAAATTGTAGGTAATATTAAGCAAAATTATTAATATATCAATATCTACAATAGCCGAGTTCAAAAAAAAAATATTTTCTTTTTTGTGAAAACATCTTTAAGCAATACATTTATGGTTCAATTAACATTGTTGTATATTATTTATTTCAACTGGAATATTTACCTAAGCGCATTTGGTGACAGTTTTAAGAGAACCTTTAAATGAGATTGTGTATCCACGAGTAGTATTTTTTTGATCGATGGCTTTATTTGAAAATAAAATTTTCCTTTAATTTATTAAGTGGGGGTGTAGGTTGGTAACAACTTAACAGGTTCATTGTAACACGTGTGTCAACTGAAATAAGTAGTATATGAAAATAAAATTATTTTTAGTCTCTGATAAGCACTTGTACTCTTAATATAAACAAATTTCGATAGAACTTTTAGGTAAAATACTAATAAAGCCTATTTTGTTGCAGATTTCTTCTACTTCTATATATGCATTGTCAGCTTCTTAATACCGGGTACCTCTTGCGACTGTTCACAGAAGGTATATTTAGTTTTAGTACTATTAAAACCTTAAATAGCGTTATAAGTATTCAATAAGAAAATTGAACCCTTATAAGATCACGTGTTTGTTTGTTTGTACGTTTGTTGTTTCTTCGGAAGATTAAGGACTTATTCACACTAGAGTGGCATAACTCAATATATGTCAACAGGATTCAATATATGTATGTTCTCGCCAAACTTTATCGAAACTTTACGCTTTTAATTTTTTACGCTTAAACCGCTAAGTTTAAGCGTAAAAAAGTAATAGACAGAGTTACTTACACATCTATACATATAATAATATTCTAACTAAGTCGAATCTGTACATTTCATATTTTTTTGAAAATCTTATTGAAATAGACATTATTATCGATACAGAGACCAAATCTATAGTTTTTTAGAATTTTTGTCTGTCTGTCTGTCTATTACCGCATCACAGAAAAACCACTGGAGTTACTTTTTACTCTGGGAAAATATCTAATTTCTGAGAAAAAATACAAAAACTGCAATGTAAGGGTATACTAGTATGTAAAACCTAAGAATTTTGTTTTTGGACATCTGAACGTGGGCGGAGCCGCGGGCAATGCTATTTTATAATATTAGTATGGATGTCCGTCCGTGTAGTGGAATAATTTGTTCCAAACTTAAAGTTACTGTTTGAATATTCGTATGACATAAAATGGACCATTTACCATGTTTTCCACTTAACGGTCCAGCATATAGCGAATTCCCAAATTTTTTTATATCGTAAAAATAATGACTAACAAAGCTCACAGTCTCTTAAAAAGTTAAGTTTCAAAAAAATAACATATTGTGTTAAATTTTTTGCAGATTGCTAAATTGTGTCATCACAGCCAGGGCCAGGCGCCATGTGGACAGAAAACAAACGTAGGTTTAGGTAATAATAATGATACTAATAATATTGTATACTATGACAATGGTATAATACAGTACCATAATTCTAAACAAAATTTCTTTAAAACACATGATTCAAAGACAAATTTCTATGAAAATTCCATAGACACTACATATCCACGTGAAAACAATCAAAATGTAATTATATACTTAGCTGGGTATGATGATGAGATTTTTAAACTTAAAAACGATATTGTAAAACATGGAGCAGGTAACGAGATACTTGTACATTTCTTTTTATATAATGACCAAAATTATTACCATTTAGGAAATATTTATACTGACTTAAAAGTTTTAGAGGATAATGTAGCAAAATATACACATTACTTTTGTTTGGATAAAATATCATTAGAAAAGGCGTGGTATTTAGATAATGCAGGGTATTTACAAAGACGTCTAACTAATAATAATGATAACATTATAAAAATTGTAAAAGAAGTTGATAATAATACAGAAAAACCTATATCTTCATATGAACTTGTATTTCCAAAAAAGAAAGAGTTACCAATAAAAGATATTTTTGTAAATATGTACAAATTTAAAGACAGGAAAGTCAGTCAATCTCCTGAAGTTATAACTAACAAACAAATCAAAACCAAATATTTTGACGAAGTAAATGCAGTTGTCCATCCAGAACTATATCAAGGAAACAATAATGCAAAATCAATGTACAATTTAGGAAAGTTAGTTAATTCAGATAAAAATGATTTATTAAATAGTAATCAATTATACATGCATAAAGAACAAAGCGATGAGCTTCAAGATAGACCTAAAATAGGATATTGGCCGTCTGATATAACAATGAAAGAAACTTATTCTGGTGATTCTCCAGAAGCACAAAGCTATATATTAAGCAATACTTCTTCAATTTATGCACATGATACAAAAGAAATGAAAATGGAATATAATAAATCAAATGATCAATTACAAGATTTCAACGAGTACAATCAATCATTCGAAGTTAAAAATGAAAAAACATTTAATAAATTGTCAATGAAACCTTGTTATTTAAGTTATGATAACAATAACAAAGATGCATATGCATTTAGTGGATTGGAACCTATCAAGGCAGACCAGAAAAATCAGAATGTAAATATTTTAATAGAGCTACCAAAGGATCAAAATTATAAGGAATATTATGACTCCGAAAATGATGGATTATTAAATATTAATCCAAAAATCAAAATAATTGATAATGAAAATAATACCGCAAAAAGCCAAAGCACGCAAATACCAATGAGTAAAAGTATGAATAAACAAAATATATATAGCATCGATAATGACCTTAATCTTAAGTTAATAAATAAAACTGAATATATTGACGAAAGCAAAGTAAACATCAACAACACAACAAGTTTTTTTCCAACAATTCAAAACTTGGACAGTAAAACCATTAGTGGTTCGAAAAATATTAAAAATCTACAATTTGATACAAAAGAACCTTACGCAACTGATCAACAAAATACTGTAAATGGAACTTTTAATAAACAACAAAGCATATGTTATACTGATAGTGAAACAACAGACACTAAAAAAAATGAGGAAAAAATAGCTTACTTTCCATCTGCTAATGCCTTGGATAGTAAAGAAATTTATGAGCGATTGAAAAACTCAGAAGAAGCAAAATATAATAATCAAGAAATGCAGATAATTGAACAACGGCCTGAAATTATATCATATATTGAGCCTGATTTACTCAAAGATACCAACATTAAAGATAACCTAGAACCAAATTATCAGGTAATCGTAAATAATAATCACGAACCATTACAGTATGAAAATATATACGTAACACCTAATATATCATTTTCAAGAGAACAGATAACGATACCAGTCAACTTAAATAGTAATGCAGACTATACAATTTTCGACACTCTAACACAAAATAAAGTTAATCCATACGTATTCAGAAACAGCGTTGCACCTTCAGATATTAAATATGAAATGATATCTTCTGAGAATGAACCAAAATATTTTAACAACGTTACAAGTAGTAGCAATAATTATCCATCTGTATTATATTTAGATACGTCATATATTAATCAAAACGGAATATTTAATCCAAATATCATTCAATCATCTAATCTTCATAGTTATGATTCAAATTCAAATTTATTTAGCACATACGCACGAAATTTAGAACCTATCAATTATCCTATAACGTGGTCCGAACCGCATTTTAACTATTATGATAACATTGCTAAAACCAAATTGAAAACGCCTCAAGGAACATACTTTTCTCAATATATAGCACCAAAAAATAAACTTGTGAACATAAAATTACCTCCAGTTACACTTACTGAAATATCATATAAGAGTAATCCCAGTTATGTTTCTATTCCAAGCTATACGCTTAACCAAAATGCTACACCAATTGAATTAAAAGACAATAAAACCTATAGAAATATATCAGAAAAGAGACCACCAAATGCTATTTTAGAACAAGTTTGTAACCCACATTTATCTTTCAAACAACAGGCGAAGGGTTATTCCACAAGTCGTACACCAGATATTGTAAAAATGACTTTAAAGAGGCCTAACGATGGTCAATTTGACTGGAAACTATTGCCAGTCAATTCAAATTTAAAGGATACGTCGCCTCGAGTTGCATCTCGTGGTGAATTCTCGACTCAGATTTATCCTAGTTCTTTTTATTCACCAAATATCAATTTAAATCAAGAAATGATGTCAGGTAAATTAAGTGAATATCACGCATACATCGACGACGTAAATCAATCTAACCAAGCAACGGTCTCTAATAAACCTAATGTTCAATCAATTGATCATTGGCTATTACCTAATTATATTAGTAACTATGATTATGTTTCCAATGTTGGGACATATAACAAAAATGGAAATGAATTACCAGACGAAAATATAGTATTAATAGCAACAGAAGACACTAAACTTCCGAAATTTAACTATCCCCAAGTTGCCAGCATAATCCCAGAAAAAGTTTTGCCAAAACATAACATTTCACCAAAAATAGTACAATCAATGTCATCAGTATTGTTAGATAAAAGAAAGACATCTACTTCACCACAGCCAGATTCATTTGATACGTTTTCGTTAACAGAATCGGAAAAATCTTTTGAACTGTATCCCGAATCAAGCATTCCTATTTCTGATGGTGATATTATTCTAAATAATAAAGGAGATTCTGATGTTAAAAAAAGTAATGTTATACCACACTTGAATCGATATAAAGAATTAAAACAATATATTCCATCAAAAGTAAAATATGAGTCTATAAAACCAGACATGTTAAAAGAATCTGTTCCATACCATCTATATAATTCTTATCCCTCTTCCTCAAATGTAGATTCTTCAAAACTGTATGAACCAAATGTCCCATATTTTTCTGAATGGTTCGAACCTTGTATAAAAAATGTCAAGCAACAGGACATAATAAATATTCAACCAATTTCTAACTATTCAGAACCTTACAATGTAAATTCTTCTGACCCAAATATTTTAACTTCAGAAACATACGATTCTAGTAATGGTATACCAAGTGTTAATAAATATATTAAATTAAATTCTAAAATAGAAAATTACGAACCGTTACAAACAACATATGAACCTAGTTTAATATCAAAAGAATTTAAATCAATACGTGAACCAAATAAATCACTAAAAACTAATCAACCAGGATCATTTTTTACTATGTTGCCAACGTCAAAAGTGGATTTTTCAATACAATCACAACCTAATAATTTTCCAATTTCTTCTAAATCAAATATTCCTTACACTTTTGAACGATTAAAACCTCTTGCTAATAAAGCTACACAAAATATCTTTTCTCAAAGCCCAGTAGCTCACATTAGTGAATTTCCCGTAATAAATGTTTCCTCTCCTTTAAAAACATATCAATCTACCGTTAATAATAATAATAAACCTTATGATTCGAATATAATTAACGTTATACCAAGTGAAAATCAAAATTGGAAATTAAATTTTAACTTAAGAAATTATAACCCTGTGAAAATAGAGTACGCATCTGGTTTACCCGCCTTTTCGCTTAAAAAAGATAAATTAACGCCAATTAGTAAATCAAATATTCCTATGTCTCTAGAAATAAATGAATTAAAAGTTTCTGAGGGAGACTTTAATACTAACAATAATGTTATACCAACTACAAATAAAAATGTAGAGCTAAATTTTGCATTTGCACAAAATGAAAAACCTGAAGAAACAGTCTATCAACCTTGTCAGTTGTCAGGAAAATATAAAATGCCAAAATTAAGACAAGAAAATTTCAAACATTCAGAGTCCCTTTATACTGCGCCTTATTCGTCTAATACTGACTTACGTACTGAAATAGAGCTATCAGTGCCTCTTAGTGATAATAAACAAAATAATTTAATGACTATACAATATCCCGTTGCCCATTCAATACCTCACTTAGAACCAAACCTGATAGAAAATATAAAATTATTTCCTGACACAATACCTGTTTTCTATGATAATAAAACGCCAGTACCTTTAGCAACGGCGTCTCCAATGCCTTGTCAAAATAGAGTGCATCTAGATAACTATCAATATACACCAATACTTTTATCATCTAGAATCGAAACAAAAAACCCTGCATCATTTAAAAACGACTATATATCAACAGTTTCAGCACCTTTAAACACTATTTCATTACCTTCTCCATTAGTATCTTTTTATACACCTGCTTCTTCTAATTTTACTTCAGAAGCCCCTATTTCTCAAAGACAAAGTCACGTTATAAAAACATCAAATACTGGCAACACAACAACTTACATAGATACTTTGCACAGTACTCTACCAACATATAAAGTATTTGATACTAACAATTTACCTTCAGTTTCTTCAAACTTTGTATCACCAAGTCCTGTTCCATTAAAAATGGCTACTGATACATTTGCAAATCCTTTACAAAATACATCACTACCTTCTAAAACCTATACGTATAATGAGCTAAAAGATACTTTTGACAAATATAATAAAATTTCATATTTGATTAGGCAACCACGTGTAAACAATCAATATAAAAATCTTGATAATATACTTAATACAGTAGATGAATTTAATGAAATTCCTATGATATCTCAAAAAGACTATACTTTAACATCTCCTGTTTCTCCCAGTACTGCTTCTTTAGCTCCTATTCCGTCAGATTTTATGTTATTCACTTATATTCCTCCAAGCTCACCAAATACTATTTCTCTAACAAGGAACAAGCCAATAGAAAGTATGAACATACCATGCTCTGATATTTACGTAAACCCTGCTGAAAGTACTTTATCAACATTTTATCAAAGCAATTTACCATCCTTTAAGATTTTCAATAAGCCAAAGGATTTTGGTAAAAGTCATGAAATTTCATCTATAACAAATGTGCCACGAGTAAACGAGCAACAAAATAAATATGATAATATAATTAACGTAGTAGGAAAACTAAACGAATTTCTTTCATCGTTTCAAAAAAATCTTTCGTTAACAACTCCTGTTTCTTTCAACACTATTTCATCAGTCCCTGTTCCTACAGATTTTTCTTCATCATCTTTAGTTTCTCCAAACATTATTTTACAAAGTCCTGTCTTACAAAAGACATACCAACAAAATGAAGTGTTTAAAATACCAATAGCTAATGCTAATGGTGAACTATCACAAAGTACTCCACTAGTACAAAACGTGTTTGATATATTTAACAAGCCAAAGAATACTATTATGAAATATAATAAATCTCCATGTCTAACTAGTGGACAAACAAATCACTTAGAGAAAAATAACGACAATATAATTAATGTAGTAGAATCACAAAGTGGTGACACCCCTATACCTATTAAAACCGATTTAATATCATCAAGTCCTGCTTTAAACATTGCTCCATTAATTCCAACTCCATCAGTTACGATTTCAGCACATCCCAATTCAAACTTCCTTTCCTTTTCTTCTTCTTCAAACACTGTTTTATTAGCTCCTGATCCTACAGATTCTATTTCATCAACAGTCACTTCTTTAAATACTATTTTACCAACTTCTGCTACTTATAAACTGAAAAAACCAATTGCTTTTTCTAAAACGCCAATAACTGCTACTTATTTAAAAGACGTGCAAAGTTTTCCAACAACATCAAAACATCTTGACACACCTATTCATAATGTAGTTACGTATAAATCAATAGAATATGTTCCAAAATTCGTACCCTATGCAGAAACACCTGAAATAACACCAAACCTAAACGTATTGAGACCGACACATCTTCCCAAAAACTATATTCCTAAATCATATATAGAAATTAAACCACAAACTAAACACAAACCAAAGTATTCATATATAAAACCACCTAAAATAAAAGAATATGTATCCATATCAGAAATTCCTAAGTATAATTTACCTCATCAATTACTAGAATCAATTCCTAATACACAATTTATATCCTATCCAACTAAACCTCCCACTGCTTTCGCAAGCTCACAAATACAGAAGTGGCCACAAGATATGATATATTTAACCTCTCCTGAAACAAAGCAATCGTCTCATTCAAAAGAATGGAATTATTCACCTATTAATAAAATTGTAAAATTAAATAATATTCAAGCGCCGACTTACCAATTTCCTATCCAAATACCAAGTTCTAGTAAAAATAGCTTATTTTATAAACCTATACATCTTAATTTTGAGTCGAAACCATCAGTACAAAAATTTAATTTGAAGCCCACATCATCTTATCAGGGCCCTCTGAGGAATATAATAGAATACATAACGGAACCACAGTCCCTATCACCATCAACATTATCGGTAATGTCAGAAATGTTTCCACAAAGTAATATAATTGTCTCCAAAATTCAACCACAATCTGTCTCACTTTCAAATTATCAGTTTTATTCTCCAGCAAAAAAATTCGAACATTCTTATCTAAAACCTCATATGAAATATACATTACCATGTCAAATCCCAGTCACTAATGACCGAAATACAATAATTTCAACGGAAAAACCTCAATTGATGCCTTCATCATCAAAACTACAACCAAAACCTGCAATGGAACCCAAACCAAGTATAAAGTGGCTACCAGATTTAATTAAAAATAAACAATCAGTTCCAAATCAATATCATATATTTATTTATCCGAAAACACCCAATAGAATTTCAAGCGTTCCACCAAAAAGTGCATTTCAATCAACAGCTTCTATAAGTCCTGTACAGCCTAGTTTAAACGAACAAAACAGTTATACTTATTTGCAATCACCATTAAGTACGGTGTCTATGAGTGTTAATCCGGTAAAAGAAACTTGTACTTATAATGTACCAAGCACTGCAAAAATCCTTTCATCTCCTTACCAGATACCTTATACATCGACTTATTCAAAAGCTCCTTCTTTACCACAATCTGCCGATATAATTCAAGATATTCAACTATCTTCGCTACCTCACAACGGGGAAATTCATAGAAAGGGAAATGTTAATTCTATTCCTTTACAACCGAGCTTTATGACGTCTAATTCTTATCAATTGCCAAATATAACATCTCTAAAAACTTCTAAATCAGATACTTCTAGTGTTGCTCTTAAGACTTTAATGGAAGAAGTCGTACAAGACGACATAATCAAAGAGCAACTAACATCACATACAATTACTAAGAGTAATAAATGGTATTTACCTTATACTTTACCAAAAATAGAGCTCATGGAATCTAGTCCCTCTAATCCAAATTCGTCATATCATGTTACGTGGCCACAAGCTTATCAAAAGGTTAAGCCACAGGTTGCTGGTACTTCTCTAAATTATCAACCACCGTTAACATTATATGATTGGACTACCTTAAATAAAAATAGTATAGGTCCAAAACCTTTAAGACCCAATAAAAATTCTGTTTCATATTTAAACTATTTAACACCTACGAATACTTCGACATCACAGTCCACTCTCAGACCTTATAATTTAAGTTACGCTACCTACCCATTAGCAGATCAATCTCTTAAAATGTCAAATGGCATGTATTTATCAAATAAGAAACTGCCATTACCAATATGGTCCCCTATTGCTTTTAAACCAGATATATCTAATATTTCATCTCCAGCCAAGTCTCCATTTTATTACCAGACAAGCACTGTAAAAGCCCCTCTCTCTATTCCCACTACTCCTTTACCATGTCAATCTGTCGGGACAAAAGCCAATTCTTATTATTTCCCATATGTAGATAGTAAAATTCAAAGTGATCAAATATTGAAAATGAAACCAAAAACAAAATCTTTTTATTCATATTTAACTTATTTATCGCCTACAAATTTACGTGATTCTAAAAAACCATGCCCTACGAGCTATACTTTCCCAAACGCACACAAAACACAAACTGTTCAAACACAGAATGAAATACTAGAAACAAATAAAGAAATAAAAAATAGCACTCCATACGTTTTCTTAGATTTAAAACCTAAAAAAGTATATCAAGTCCCCTATAACTTACCAATTTCTAATAAAATTGACTATTTTGATGATAAAAAAAGTAGAACAGAAATAGTAGATAACATAGGAATTGATAATTACTACAATTTCACTAATTATCTGCAAAATGAGCAAAATGTATATAAAGGAAGTCCTGATTTAAAAAATCAAATAATTCAAAGCTATGCACCGATTAATCCAAATATATCTGCAATGCCTTATATTACATACACACAAAAACAGACTCCTGAAGACCAATTTATAGCGGATAAAAGTGAAAATCTCGCTAAAGTTGCGGATAACTATTACGCCCAAACCCCATTAATTTCAGAAGTTCCTTGTAGTACATATACACTTCCTAAAGTTGGAGAAGATATAAGTAATGGTAAATATAATTATTTCAATTCTATAAATTATCCTCAAAATGAGCAACCAAATATACATCAAGAAACTCCTAACTATAAACTATTCTATTCTAAACTACATCCAAAAGCTTATCCTATGGGTGATAATTATGCAAAGATTCAGCCAACTATATCAACAAACCCATATATAACATACACAGATCCAACTAAACCCATAAATGATAAAACTAATTATAAAGGCCAAATTATAATAGGGAAAGATAGAAATCTCGAACCAGCAGACGCAAAAATTTTGGGCAGCCCTCGTAAACTAAATTACAACATTCGTCCTGTAAACCAAATTACATCTCCATTACCAAACATAGGTGTTATTAAGTACGAACCTTACGAAATAAACAATGAGATGAAAATTCAAACGGATAATCCAGATATAGGAATAAGAGCATGGAAATCGAAACTGAAAATTGTAAAATTTAGAATTGTTGCTGACGCTTACGAAACAGAAGCCTACAATTTCGAGCCAATCATTAAAAGAAAATATATTAAGAAATATGATCTACAAACTGTACAAGATACAGTAAAAAGTTACGTTCAAAAATTTTATGGAGAACCAATTGTATTGAAAGGGGTTTATAGTTTTTATAAGCCATATGCCATTTATAATATAAATGAGAAATATATAAATGAAGGTTTATATTTTATTTGGCCAACATTGTGTCAATGTGGATGTGACAAATTCGGATGTCGGTGCCAGATTTGAAACAGATATCGAATTGTGGCTTCAATTTTTATTCGAATAGACAACTAATATTAATAAAACATTTAAGATGTCACAAAGACAAAACTTCCTTACTGATTTCGATTAGGCGACCCTAAAAGAAAGAAAGAAAGAAAAAGGCAAAGAACATCTGGGCATATTTCTCTACGTGGCACGATCTGATGATCTTTCGATGACATAGGCATTATATTGTTACGTTCATGTCATCAGAACTCTGGCTGATCTGGCTGGAGGTCTACCTACACTACTTTTAGGGGAAGATATAATAATACACAGAAATATGTACTCAGACAGAAAAGTACAATCTTATAGCTATTAGTTAAACCCCATTACATTACATTATCTTCTAAGCACCAAATTAATAAATACTCACCGGGACTCGAATCTAGGACCTCAAAATCTAAAACTACCTACGTTTACCTACCCACTAGATCAAGTATGCATGTAATTATATATCATGCAATATAGTCGTATTTCTACTATATACGGAATATATCGATAATACTAATAACTATTACAATAAGATTTTCCAAAAAAAATATTTAATGTACAAACGAACTAGACATGGAAGAAAAGTACCTTAAATATGAAAGGTTTTAAAAATTAAAATAATAGTAACCGTATTTAAATAATTTTTTAAAAGTTTATCCGGTAATCGAACCTATAAAAATGCAAAAAATACGCCGTGATTGAAAATTGACATGTTCAATATTTAAGATATTTTCTTTCCAAGAACCATTTATTTTACGCTGTAATGATAATCATAATATTGTAGATGTAATTGTTAATTAAAAATTACAAAATATGATGGCCTTTATATTTAACTTTTGATCTTAAAATCTATTTCTAATATAATTTTAGTTGCTATTCGTACTTTAATAGGACGAATCTATATATATCCTCCTTTTTGAAGTCGGTTGATAAAATGCATAAGTGACTAACTCACTGATGTACTCAGTAACTAACTGATGTATCACCGCACAGGCCAAACCCTCAGGGCTAGAAATTTAAAATTTGGCACACGTATTCCTCTTATGACGTAGGCATCCACTTAGGAAGGATATTTCAAAATTCAACTCCCAAGGGGGTGAAATAGGGGATAAAAGTTTGTATGAAACTTTTTATTCCTTGATAATATTTGCATGAAATTTCGTATGAATTGAGTACGGCAAAATTAGCCGATTTTTTGTTTAACCTAATTTTGATCTTGAGAGTGAAGCTATTGTAATCTTATCCCAGAACATGGAATAAAACTTTTAGTTTATGTGTAAATGAAAGTATATTTTACTTTAGTTAAATTTGATGAATTTAGTAAAAAAAGGTTATAAATTCTATGTCTGTATAACGCTTCATTACAATTCTCACTTCATCTCGATCAACTCACAAAACTTCTATCCTCCATCCCATGTGAACCCTATCCTTTTCACATGATGCTTAATTCGACCGGTTAAAATAGATTTGGATATATCGATATCGATCGATAGACTCCTGTTTTTTTTTTTTTTTTTTTTTTATGTCGGGAAATGCATTTACGCATACCACCTGATCCCCCAGGTGGTGATGTGGGGCTCACCGGCTAGAAGAGCCGGTACTACCCACTAAAACCCGACATTCCCCTCCCCTCCGCCTTAATGGGACGCCGCAGGATCGCTTGCGCATAACTACTACGGCGCCCCGGCGGCAGGTCTGCCAACGGCTGACCACCATACCGATGGGGCTGCAGTCAACTCTGCTACACCAGAGAGGTACCCGGAGCAGCCCCATTAAACCGAATCTCCGCCCACTGAAGTGGGCCACCTCCAACCGGCTGCAGAGGACAGGGTGAGCAGCAACGAAACACCGACACTCCTCTTCCCCTGCAGCCCCACCGCGTCCGCCATCAAACGGTGGCGGCCCCGTCTAGGCCGCGGAAGGTAGGGAGAACGGCGCACCGAAATACCGGCACTCCTCTCCCGCCGCGGCCTACCCCTCCGCCGGATGCGGGCCTGCAATCACAGTCCCGCAACCGGCACCCATCATCCGGTTGTGGGACCAAGCGGTCCCACCACCGGTAGCCGCAACGTCTTCGGCTCGAGGCCTAGACGAGCGGCCCCATCCAAGCCATTTGGTCCGCCGCCCTAAGCGGGTGGCATTCCCCTATCCGCCACCTGGGGACGCGCCCGGTAGGAGTTGGCTTCTCCCCCGGGAAATCGATAGACTCCTGTACTTTAACCCCATGGGATACCTTTTTGAGAAATAATAACAGCCTATATGTCTTTCAAATCTTTTCACCAAACCCTCTATCTAGTGTTCAAAGACAATTCTGTCGTTCAGACAAAAAAAGGTATTATATAATCAACTAATGGCTTAATTAAACGGATTTTGTTCACAATTTCATGGTTTTTAATTTTTTTGTGCGGAACCCTGATTCTTTTTCTAAAATAAAAGTAGCCTAAATTAAGCCTTATAATATACTAGCGACTATCCCTCGCTTCGCACGGATTCGTCTCTAGGTACGTTTTATATTAAAATGGACATAGTATGTTATTCTTAAGAGATAGACATATTATGTCATCGCATGTTTCTGTAGACCTATATAAGATACACAATTCCAGCATACAGAATTTTGTTATATCTCAAAGGGTTTAGGTAGCGTTTTCGTTGAAAGCTTCCAGACAGCTTATTGTTTCCGGCACCTCCAATCAATATCGTTATATTTTAGCCAATGTATACAAAAACTAAACAAATTATATACTTAAACCTTGAATCACTCTATATTAAAAAAACACATAAAAATCCGTTGCGCAGTTTTAAAGATCTGAACATACATAGGGACAGACAGACAGCGGGAAGCGACTTTCTTTTACACTATGTAGTGAAGCAGTCTGTCAGTGTAAATCCCGTGAAAATCGGTCCAGCCATTTCGGAGAGTAGCCTGAACAAACAGGCAGATAGACTGGCAAAAATTTTAAAACCTGTGTTTTTCTTATGGGTAGCGTATATAATTTCATATGCATTTAGAAAAAAGCTGTTATTTTGACATTCCACACAGACACTTCTATTTCATCTTTATAGATTATGAGTTTGATGCATTACATTCACAGACAGACATTTTTACTATAGACTATTATACATGTATTTATTTTATATACAGATTATATGTCTCATAATCATTATATGCATAATACTATATTCCTTCGTGAACTTGTTTTCATCTTTTTAATTAGCTTTTATTCAGTCGGATTTTTTATTTTTATAATATATTTATTTATTTACAGCTTTTTCAGTATTTTAAAGTAGTAATTTTAATTAGTGAGAATGGTTGTTAACCAACTTTAAATCATTAAATATCCTAAACTGTTATTTAAAATGAAAAACGATGAAAGAAACGTAAAATTGATTTTTAAACACCTATTCAAAGATACCCCATTTATAATAAAACATTGTAGTCTTAATACTAATATTATTGAGATATCACTGAACTAGATAACTGATATACGAGTAAATATTTCACAAATCAAGTCAAAATAAACTATATTTATATAGATTTACAAGCACTTTTGAATTGTCAACTTTTGTATTTTTTTAATTTTAATTAAATCTCAGTGCGCAAGTTTGCTGTAGCCATAGACGTAAGAGATTCTTTAGGTCTATGGTTGTTCAGCTACAGCTTCGATTACAGCTTCGATTCAGCTACAGATTCGAACTACGATTGCATGTCGTCGTGTGAGTTCACGTAACGCTAGTTGACAAAACCGGTTTGTTCCGGGTCGAGCTGTTGACAAGATCAGGGGTCACGCTCAAAAGAAAACGCACACACTGCCTTATGGAGTAGTGTACCTATCTTTTTCAGGTTTACGCGAATATTTGACATTTTAAATTGCTGTAGAGCATTCGAAACGGGCACCAAAAATCATAATAAGTCCGCGGAAAAATCCGAAAAGGTAATTTTATTTAAAAGTCGGTGTATGTACCTATCTTTGCATGGTTTTATAAACCCTTGTGTCTTAGGTCCTTATCAAAAGGTCCCAAGTTCAGATCCCAGATTACTATGAGCTATAACACATAGAAGCAATAAGCGCAGAAAAGAGAAAATATTGAGTTGTAAGTTAAAACATTTTGGTATGAGAACCATGTGAGATATAAATATTAGGCAATGTTTAGTTTGTAACTTTGTAAAAAATATAAAATATAACTTATAAGTGTACAATAATTTTATAATAATAATAAAAATATTTTTTGTTTTATTATGGTATTATTTCATACTGACATTTTTTTTTGTAGTTAAAATTCGAGGAAAACCTTTATAATGAATAGAATTTATCTATCTATAGAAAAAACTGTTTCAATTTTTTTTTTTTTTGATAAAACTAACTATATCAGAAGCTATTAAAAAAAAAGAAAATCTTTTGACAAACAGAGGAAAGGTACTGAAGTGTTTTGTCTTTGCCTATTTATATATAGATACTTTTTTTTAGCTTTTCTTTAAAGTAACTAATCAAAAAACAAACGTACAGTGGATTTTAACCTACTTATAATTGAACCATCTGTTTTAAGTTTAGCAAGTTTATAATAACTATTGGATAATCTATACATATAATAAAATTGTAACTATGCCGAATATGTACATTAAATTTTTTTGGAAAATCTTATTAAAATAAACATTATTATCGATACAGATGCCGAATCTATAGTTTTTAGAATTTTTGTCTGTCTGTCCGTTATCGCATCACAGAAAAACCACTTGAGAGATTTTGATGAAATTTGGTATGGTGATAGCTGGTTATCCGGGACAAAATATAGGATACTTTTTAGGGTGGGAAAATGTCTCATTTCTGAGGAGAATACAAAAACTGCACTGTAAGAGTATACTAATAAGTAAAACCTAAGAATTTGGTTTTTATTTTATATAATTTAGAATTACCTCATGATCTGTTGCTAGTCGCAGGAGGTGGATAGTGGAACTCTTCAATGGCCACTAGTTACGGCATAGTGTTTGGACTCGTTTGATTTGTTTTAATTGTTCCAATACATTTTGCTAAAAGACAATTACACATATATTTTTTATACTTTTCTATATTAAAACTTAATTTACAAAATGTTATGGCAAAAGAATAATCTGGTAAAGATTTTATTAATTACTGGCGACTCAGCATCGCTTCCCTCGGGTTCGTCCCTAGGCACGTTTTATCGGCTAAAATGGAATATATAAACTGTATATTACTATATACAACTGCACGGGGGTGATGTGTTCGAGTGGGAATCGAATAATCTGCCGCGGTAAAAAGCCTATGCCACTTTCCAGCCCTCCAACTATCTCCACAAAAAGTCACACCACTCCGTCATTCTATTTCGACGTGAAAGGAGGACTAACTAGCAAACAAACAAACAAACAAGCAAACAAACAAACACGCTTTCATTTTTTCTTTCTCAATTATAATATTATAAGTATGGATAGGTACCGATTTGATAGTCTTTTGAAAATTGAATTCGAGTCTTAGAGAGGATACACACATATCACAGTACATGAAATATTTTAACGTGCAATCTCCTCTCGCCACACCGCTATAATGCCGGATGCTGGATTCAACTGTCAAGGAGATGAGCTTCCTCTAAGATTTTAAATAAAATTATTGTTTTGGATGTTATCGCGGTTTTATTTCGATTTTTTTGGTCTTGACGTTTCAAATGCTTTACAGCAATCATTGTCACGAGAGAGACCCAGGTTTTAGTCTCAAAAGTTATAGATATAACAAACAAACCGCAAAATTAAACAGTGAGTAAGAAAATATTAATTAACTAATTAAACAAGCATAATGTATTTTTTATCTTTTTTTAAGCCCCGACGAAAAAAGTGGGGAGTTATAAGTTTAACATGTGTATCTGTGTATCTGTCTATGACCTCTAACGCTTAAATTTACTTTTTTAACTAATCAGCTTTTTTCTAAGGATATGAACAACTTCCATAGATCTAATCCATTCGAAACTTGATGTCCAGTTATTTCAATGACATTACAATAATATGATAACCTTGGCCTGATGCTGCAGACTACAGCGTCATCTGGAATCTGCAAGATACACAACTCTTTACTAAGATACTGCTATAGTGTTCGTTAAGGCAGTGGTAGTCCAGTGGTAATGCGCTCGCTTGGGAAACCGAGTGATGTGGACTATGGCCTCCTTCTATTGAAGGGAGACCCGTGCCCAGCATATATATCGTGTTCGAATTCATTGAAATGGCTTAAATAGGTTATTGTGTTAGGTTATTATTTATTTGTTCTTATTTATTTTCTTATCGTTTCTTTGCACTTTCTCTTTCTGTCCCGCTATTTAACACTATTTCCCACATACGTGGGTTGACTGGAAGAGATCTCTTATAGAGATAAGTCCACCTTTGTCCACATCATTTTCTATGTATTTTTGTTATTACTTGTTATTACTTATTTATATATATAAATATATATATATATATAAATATATATATAAGTTAAATGGATCGTGAAAAACTACTTTGATAATAAAAAAAATTGCAGTCATATTCCACAAAATTTTACTTACAATTAGTATTTCCAAAAGAATATTTCATCGGGAAACTTCATTGTTTCCACCAAAAAATGAACGCCGTCCCGAGAAATAATGCGGGACTATTGATTTTATTTTATAAACTTACCTATTAAAAGTTTTATTTAAAAATGGCCTGGAGGCGTCACGTTATAACCAAGGCTTACCTTTGGCTTATCCTTTAATGCCAACGATCTTTTTTCAGAGTTCCGTACCTCAAAGGGAAAAACGAACCCTTAGAGGATCACGTCGTTGTCCATCTGTCTGTATATCTGTCTGTCAAGGCCCTATTTCTGAGGAACGCGTATCAAGTTGAAATTAATATCAAATACTCAGGTCGGTAATCCCTTGAAGCTGTGAAAAGTCAAACTTTTAATAATACTTTCTTAGATTTACGCGAATATTTGACATTTTAAATAAAACTATCTTTTCGGATTATTTCGCGGATTTATTTTGATTTTTGGTTCCCGATGTTTCGAATGTTTTACAGCAATCATGGTCACGGGAGAGACTGACGTGTTAGATGTCTCGAAAGTGTAGTTGTTACAGACAGCCTACCCACAATTAACAAAATGAAAATTACACCAATTACCTTCATCATCCTTAATTAATTTTAACTTTTTAAATTACACATAAAACAATTATATGGCTTAATAATTAATACTATATTTTATATTTTTCTTTATGGTTATAAATATTATAATGGCAACACTAAATATAGATTACTAATTAATGTTTTTAACATTGTATTAATTATAATAATAACAGTAAAAATTAAGTAAATAATATTCCATATTCAATTATAAAGCTAATTAAAATTATAAAAATGTTTAAAGTCAAACTTCTAAACAACGCAATCAAAAGATACGGACGTTTATGCCGCATATTTTGACGGTCGCAAGGGAATCAAAACCTTTTGGGTGCTTCCCCTTGACCTAGAATCATGAGGAAATAAATATGGCCTTATAGCACAACTAAAGGAAAAAAATCACTAAATTAGTAATTATATCCCAAAAAAAATCATAGTAAAAATTTAGTGTTTACCTAACAAAATATGTTAGTAAAAACAACACAATATTCGGTACGGAACCTTTGTTGCGCGAATGAGGATCGCACTTGCCCGATTTCTTTAAAAATAGCATCCAATTTTGGACCATTTTAGTGCCCCATTTTAACAAAGAAAAAAGTACTAAATCGATACTACGAGTAAATCTATAATACGAGTCATAGGTATGGCATGATTGTTAGTTGAAAATGAATGCTGCAGTGTCGTATTTCTTTAAAAACTATTAATATTTTATTTAGCTTTTTAGCTTTTGACATTTATTTATGATTTTAAATAAAAAGTAATAGTCATTTAATATTTACATTGGAGCAACTGCCTTTGTAGTTATGTACGGCTGCAGATCCCGAGGGCAGAGGGTTTGAGTCCTGGGTAGGACCAAGTTATCGAATCGGCGGCCGATCTCATTGAGACATTTTTTTTTAACGTTGGGAAATGCATTTACGCACGAGGTGTGGGACTCACCGGCAAAGCCAGTACTACCCACTAAAACCCAACAAAGCCTTCCCCCGTCTTAATGGGGCGTCGCAGGATCGCTTACGCATTCAACTACGACGCCCCGACGGCGGGTCTGCCAAAGCAGACCACAACAACCACGGGGTTGCTCCAAGGTCCACTCTGCTATCAGAGAAGTACCAAGAGCAACCCGCATGGTACACCGCCTTTCGAAGAGGGCCACCTCCTACCGCCCACCGAAGTGGGCCACCTCCCTGTGCGTTTCTTGGCTTCGCACCCGGTTGGGTTGCCGGGCACTACTGAGCCCCCCCACCACGACAAGGTGAACGCACGTTGGGGGGGGGGATCTCATTGAGACTAGCCAACTGTACAGTAGATATTACTGTACGTGTACACGCAGACACGAGTGCACTCTCTATTCCTGTCACTCTCATACTCCGGTGGGATGACACGAGACACGACTGGTGAGAGTGACTTTAGAGCATGACATACTTTTTCTCGCGAAAATCAAACATGAAGTAAATCCGATAGGAATATACGAGTATATCGACACAATCGCCGTGAGATTTAAGGCACAAAACCGACGTTACATGCTCTGCCTCGGCACGGGGGTGTAACACTGCTAACTTCCCAATTCCAGGCCGATATTGGGACTTTCTTAACAAATAGACTCGATAACTAAACTTGGCTCGACTCGGGACTCGAACCCAGGACCTCCAGAACATGCTAACCACTACACCACCGAGTTATTTATAGAGAGATAGATAAATACTCTTTATTGTGCACAATAATACACAAAGTTGCACAGCAGACGGTCTTATCGCTAAAAGCGATCTCTTCCAGGTAACCTTGAGGTGTTTAACCTATAGATAAGCTATTTTTATTCTCTAACTAACGGCTCACCCTCGCTTCGCTAGAGTTCGTCTCAAAAACAAAAACAAATCTATCCCACGGAAACCGTGCATTTTTCGGGATAAAAAGTAACCTATGTGCTATTCCAGACTATAATCTAACTCTGTGTCAAATTTCATCCAGATTGTTTTAGCCATATTGCCGTGATTGAGTAACAAACATCCATCCATCCAAACTTTCGCATTTATAATATTAATAAGATATACATACACAAACATACATACAATATATACTAGAGGTAGTAAGCAATAATAAGCAATGGTCGGACAGAAATTGTGAATATTTAAACAAGTAATACCAGACATTATGCAGCTTGCGTGCATTCGACGTTCGTATGAAAAATCAAATGTAAGTATTGATTGTAAACAAAAAGCCCTTTGCTACTGAGAACTTGATAATGAATTTGTTAATCTATACGATAATACGTCGCCTTAAAGCTTATTTTTCCATACGACCAATACTTGTTGTGATAAGTTTTTTCCTCAATTTCAAAAAAAAAAGAATGACTTCAAAAAAACAATAAAAAGTAAAAAATAACTGATTGGTAGTTTTCATTTATGTACTTAGATCTAACTCATAGTCTATCTGTTTATTAAATTTCATTCAAATCCGTTCAGCCGTTTTGACGTAAAAGAGTAACAAACATACACATACAAACTTTGATATTTATAATAGTACTGCAATTCCTACACTAGCGACAACCAGTGGCGGTATTTGGGTCATAGCTTGATGACACGTTTGGCTCAGTCTGTAGTGACCCTACTTACTGTGCCAGCGATCGCGGGTTCGAGTCCCGCTGGGGACATTCGTTTGTGTAATGAGCACGACGTGTATGTGTCATGGGTGTTTTTATTTTTAATATTTATGTATTTAAAGTTATTATATATGTGTAGTGAATCAACTATCTGGTATCCATAACACAAGCCTCGTAGCTTACCATGGAACTAGATGGTCTGTGTGTTAATGTTCCTACATATTTATAACTGCTAAGCAACATAATATGTACATACAGACGTTTTTAAATAGCTTTTCATATATTCGCTATTAGTTTTCAACACGCATTCAGACCTTTCAAAACGTAATTACCGTTTCGAGCGTACAATTTAAAATAATATTCGCTAAAATTGCTACTTGAGAGCTTGTTATACCACATTTGATACTATTTTCTACTTATTTATGAAATCTTTTGAAAACACTTGTTATAGTTTTCCCGAATAGCATTCTTTTTATGGCATGCAAATATTTTTAGGTGAGCTTAACATGGCTATGTTTGACTGAATATAAGCTATCCGTGTCTATCTAAATGTAATGTCGTTATTAAATGAGACTACTGTTTGGGTCCGAGGTCCGTTTGTATTCAGCCCTTTTTAATGTCCCACTGCTGGGGTGGGCCTCCCATACGAGTGGGATCAGGCGACAGTCCACCATGCTGGCCAAGTGAGGGTGGACTTCACATGTCTATTGAAAACTTACTAGGTTCTCCCAGACATGCAGGTTTCTTCACGACGCGATGTTTTCTTTCACCTTAAGACAGGTAATCATGTTGGAAATGATTCGCACATGAAAATAGCTGAGGTGCGTGACCCGGGATTTGAACCCACTTCACTCGGTTTCCCAAGCAAGCGCGTTACCACTGGGCTACCACTTCCAGGTCCGTTTATTACTGACTTAATAGGTATTACGTTAGAGGATACCCACACTACAAAAACGTATGACGATAAAACTCACACATAACATCATATTATAGGCTAAGGCAGTGGTAAGGCGCTATTTTATGTATATATTGTAGTAATTGTAACAATTTAAACTACACAAATACGTTGAAATCCATCAAATAATTTCACAATAAGCCATCGCAACGAATGTATCCACAAAGTTTATAAATTATTCCCTTGTTCATTCAACATACTCTTATGATTAATGTGTGTGGTGATTAAATACCCACAAATGCACCAAAAATGTGTTTCGGCCACGACAATTTTCGCTATCCCAATTATGAAAGCAATAATGACATTCAACAATATTCAATATATACTAAAGTATCAAATTTAATGGCGCCCGACGTGGGGCAAAACAACTTACCTCTACAGCTTTAATGACAGCTCTTCAAAAGTTTCACCTGAAAATAATAACGTTGTTCTGCAATATCAATTAAATATATACTAGTGTTCGCTCAGCGAACGAAATTTGACCATAATCATTATTAAAAATAGGTTTTACTACTCGAAAAAAAATAAAAAAGTAAACTTTAAAGTCGATTCAACAGAAAAGGGCTATCTGTGTACTCGACTTGTAAAGTCGATTTTAGTGAGGCTATTGGTTTTAGTCTTCATAAGTCATACGATATATATTTCCTGCTCTAACTCGCACATAGTTAATCTTCACGGAATCCATAAAAAAGCAATAGAACAAAAACATTGTGTTTTAATTCAATTCAATTATCTTGTTAATGGCTTCAAAGCGTGCCAGTTGAGTACAAATTACTTCGCCAATGTCACGTAGTATGGAAGAGATACGAAGCTCGTGTTTTAATGTGCGATTTATATGTTTTAATATATCACTTGACATTGACAGTTAGAGTTTTTTTATCTATAACACTAAAGCTCGTCAATAGCAACAGAATAAAAAAAATTGGTAGACAAACAGAGGAGAAAAAGGTAGTGAACGATTGCTGCATACTCTTGAACGCCATTTTTGATAAAACTAATTATACGAAAAGCTCTAATTAATTAAAATTGAATTTTAAGTGGTATTACTTATAAGTCAATTATAAGTCTAATTGAATAAAGTTTATTTCATTTCAATGTTAAGTGGAATTTTTCGAGAGTGAAAATTCGTCCAGACGATAAGCAAAACAACAACATTATAAAAAAGTATGTAATATATAAATAATCTATACTAATATTATAAAGAGGTAATAAAGCATAAAATTTGTGAGTTTGTGACGATGTAGAGGGAAATCTCTGGATCTACTGAACCGATTTAGATGAAATTTGGTAAGAAGATAGTTTAAGACTCTGGGAAAGACATTACTTTTATACCGGTAATCATCCCTTAAGGGGGTAAAAATGGATGAAACTTTGTATGGGGAGTCAAGCTAGGGACGAACCCGAGCAACTCCTACCGGGCGCGTCCCCAGGTGGCGGATAGGGGCATGCCACCCGCTTAGAGGGGCGGGTGGTACCGGAGAAATCCGGCGCGGACCAAATGGCTTGGATGGGGCCGCTCGTCTAGGCCTCGAGCCGAAGACGTTGCGGCCACCAGTGGTGGGACCGCTTGGTCCCACAACCGGATGATGGGTGCCGGTTGCGGGACTGTGGTCGCAGGCCCGCATTCGGCGGAGGGGTAGGCCGCGGTGGGAGAGGAGTGCCGGTATTTCGGTGCGCCGTTCTCCCTACCTTCCGCGGCCTAGACGGGGCCGCCACCGTTTGATGGCGGACGCGGTGGGGCTGCAGGGGAAGAGGAGTGTCGGTGTTTCGTTGCCGCTCTCCCTGTCCTTTGCAGCCGATTGGAGGTGGCCCACTTCGGTGGGCGGTGTTTTGGTTTTATGGGGCTGCTCCGGGTACCTCTCTGACGTAGCAGAGTTGACTGTGGAGCAGCCCCATTGGTTTAGTGGTCTGCCTAGTATTTAGGCAGACCTGCCGCCGGGGCGCCGTAGTAGTTATGCGCAAGCGATCCTGCGGCATCCCACTAAGGCGGGGGGAAGGGATGTCGGGTTTTAGTGGGTAGTACCGGCTCTTCTAGCCGGTGAGCCCCACATCACCACCTGGGGGATCAGGTGGTATGCGTAAATGCATTTCCCGACGATAAAAAAAAAAAAAAAAAGGGACGAACCCGAGGGTAGCAAGGTTGAGTCGCTAGTCTTTGTATATACAGGCAAAGAAAAACCAGTTCAAAACCTTTTTATCCTCTGTTTGTCAAATGTTATTTTTTATTTAGTTCAGCTTTAGTGTTATCATAAAAAAAAAGAATAAATCTGTCATTTTTCATAATATTATAAAGGTACGGGAACTTGATAGCATTCACTGCCGTGCGCCCGTAATATGAAACGTCAAATCAGTAAGGATTTATGGCGGAAGCGGTTACGAGTTTAAGTGTACGATGTTTAATCCCTCAACTTAAACCCACATATTTAACTAGAATGATGTAATTTTGAGTTAATTTAAAATGAGGTACTCAATTCACCTGTATCCATACTAATCCATACTAAAATTATAAATGTGAAAGTAACTCAGTTTGTCTGTCTATTTGTCTGTGTCTTATCACGCTCAAATTAACCAATTATGATGAATTTTAATAATAATATGGAAATGGACCTTGGAAAAGGACAAGGACAAACTTGAAGGAGGTGAAGGGTTGATGTATTGAAAACAAGTTATTTCTCATGATAAGAACATAAAAATTCGTTATATATTATATGTTGGTAAGAAATACCTGAGCGAAGCTATGGTAAATCGCTAGTCTATATATAAATAGGTAAAAACGAAACAGTTCAATAACTTTTTTTCCTCAGCTCAGTACCTTTTTCTCCTTTTTTTGTTTCGTAGCTTTTGACGAGATTTAGTGTTCATCAATGAAAAGAAATATTTTGGTTTTTTTTATCGATATTAAAAAAGGTTTTTAAGACTAAACATTCTATTCAATTCAATTTCTTTGTTATTCAATTCAATTTCTTTGTTTAATGGCTTCTAGGAGTGCCGTTTGAGCACCATTTACTTCGCCAATGTCGCGTAGAATGAAGAAGACACGTTATATATAGAAGAACCGGTAAAAAAAGACAAACTTTCGATTCTCAAGAGTGAAATAATTAGCTAGTTGACACCACCAAATAATGGACATAATTTGTATGAACTTTCAAAATAGTGCTCCCCCATACATTTTGTATTGAAACATCAGCCAAGGACCTTTTATGCAACAACTTTTGTTATGTCTTGTGTAACTTATACTTATTTAGCAAATAAAATAGCAAAAGAAACAAAATATTTACATAACAATCCATTTCCATGACTTTCAACCTCTATAACTTATAACCCGGACATTAGATTATATGAGTCAAAACAAAAATATAAATATTTGATTTGAGTGATTATTAAGATGTATTAGTCTAAATTAAGTTCTTATATTTAATAAAAATTACATAATAATTGACTGAATGCAGACATTAAAAAGAGCTGAATACATACATACATATTACTACAACATTATATATTTTTATCATATGAAATGAAATCGACATATATGAAATCCGGAGTTAAACTATTAGTCGCGAAATAATATTGGTAGTGGTGTTTTCTTCTTATGATATAAAGGTCTTAAATATTAATATATAAGTTTATTAAAAACCCGACTTCGTAAAAAGCGAACTTAAAAGATGAGATCAAGCTGACGAAGAAACACACATACGGATCAAACACATAACCCTCCTTTGGTATTCACCGCAGTCGGGTAATAATATCCATCGTCCATGTTTTTTGAGAAATGTGATACATAACCATACTAATAATATAAATGTATAAGTAAATCTGTTACTTGTTCACGCTTAAAAACGCTGAAAAGTTTTCGATAAAATTGGTTAAGAACATACATATGTACATAGATTGCATCCAGAGATCGGACATAAACTTGATCTCTGTCCCACTTTGCGAGCGAAGCCGTGGACATAAAATAATATTCTACATTAGTAACTAAGTTCTAAACTTGAAGTAATTTATTTTAAGCGACACGTTATATGGAAAATTAACTTTTCTAATAAATCATTGCAGTGTGTTGCTGAGGGCTCGGAAGTGAAGGAGACAAGTTCTATTCACGGTTGTCAAACTTTTACACTGATATATATATATATATATATATATATATATATATATATATATATATATATATATATATATATATATATATATATATATATATATATGAAAGTTTATATGCGAGTGTTTTTACTTCTTCACGCTGTAACGGCTCAACAGATTTTAGTAAAATTCGTAATGGAGATAGCTTATATCTTATAAATGCGAATTGCTCTAAGTTTGTTAGACTTTCATCTAAAACAGCTGGGTGGATTGGTGTATGAAATTTTGTACATAGATAGAATTAGACTGTAACCTGGAGTAACACATAGGCTATTGATAGTAATTTTTACTATATGATGGCAATACATGTACATAATATGTAAAAAATTGAAGGCATCCGAGCGAATCAAGGGCCACTAGTAAGATATATTTTATCGACGTATCTATCACTCGATAAGAACCACGTGTACTAATAAATATTAAACATTTTCATTGAAATTAAAAACCTACCAACGTTTTATTCCTATAGCTTTTCATATCCTTAATACATCTCAGCATTTAATGATTGTATAATTACATCTTAACTAAAAAGGTACGCCACCCGCAAAATGCGCTTTAAATTTAATTATTTCACCCGTATCAGTGCCTTTTTTTTAAATAATTTTACTTATTACTAAAAAATTACTACATGATTACTAAAAAAATAAAACACATACAAACCTATCCCACGGGAATTGTACATTTTTCTGGGATTAAAAGAAGCCTACGTGCTATTCCAAACTATAATCTATCTGTGTGCCAAATTTCATCCAGATCTGTTCAGCCGTTCTGGCGTGAAAGAGTAACAAACATACTCACAGACTCACATTTATAATATTAAATACGGGTATACGTATATATACATTAAAGTCAAATATGTATGTTTGTGAATACCAGTTTGAACGATTTTGATTTTAACTTTGTAGTATAAGCAAGTGACGCACCCCATCGTTTCGATTAAACTTAAATGAAAAACAAAGGGTGATACCACTAAGTAGGTACTCGTAACTTTGTTACCTAGATGTGTAGTGTGTACCTCTATCTATGTACAAAATTTATATGTTCTTTTAAAGAGAGTCTTCAAAAATCATACTACTGCTTTACATGGTGAAGGAAATCATCGTGAGGAAACCTGCATGTCTGAGAGAACCTAGCAAGTTGTCTGCCGACATGCTCAGTCCGCTCGCACTTGGTCAGCGTGGTGGAGTACGGCCTAATCTCCTGAGTATTGAAAGGAGGTCCAACTCATCATACTTATGACTACATAAATAATATATACTAATATATGTAT